CAAGCATGAGACCTTCAGACAGCTCTTTGGGATAGCGCTGCAACTTTTGTTCTGATCAGTTGGAAAGAAGAGGGCTCTGCATGAAGATGCAACCTATGTCCTCGATGTCTCCTTCAGGAGACAATTCTGCAACGTATGTCCGTAGAGTACAGCACGATTCTGACACAACTGGATTATAGTGTCGTATATTACATGGCATTGTATTGCAGTCCTGCACATTACAACTTGATACCCTAGGCATGTAGTACTATATTTCCACTCATGTTATGGTATTCCACGCTATGTACGTTTACGTTTGACCAGGTTATACCATGCTATACCATAGTGTACTGTACCATACTGTACTATACTAATTGACTGACGGGACATGGTATTATAACATGTGGTGATGTTCTTTTGTAACATGTACTGTGTTATGGTATTGTGTCGCTTATATGCATATATATATATATATATGTAATCATATATATATATATATACACGTATTTATATTCATATTCAGCCAGACAATAGTTATACATATATATATATATATTATACAGTAAAAAGAACAGTTCTAAAAGCAAGAATGATTGAGTATTACTTGTGATTCCAAGCATAACTAAGACCATGACTATGATTATGATTACCCATGTATTTCTGTATATGTACATATGCATATGTATATATATATATATATACATATACATGTATATATATATATATATACATACACCGTAGTTTTTGTTGTGGCTGCAAGGCCGATGACGGCCGAGGAGCTGAGTTTGCTCGCGGCGTCGCTGCGGAGGAGCAGAGGGAGCGGCCTCATGGGCCCACTAGGCCCGGAGCTTTGCACTCTGTTTAGGGATTTTAAGGTTAAGAAATTTAGGGGTTTAGGATTTTAGGGTTTAGGAACAGGGATTTTAGGGATTCAGGGGCTTAGGGTTTAGGGTTTATAGGGATTTAGGGATTAGGGATTTAGGGGCTTAGGGTTTAGGGTTTATAGGGATTTAGGGTTTAGGATGTATACGATCTAAATTGGCTTTATGTATAGTACTGAAACTACTCAAGTATGGAAATACTGACATAGTAAGTATAGTGCTGGATCTGCCCATGTATGGATATACTACTTACAACTATAGTGTTAACATGCTCATATATGAACATGTTAACATGTCAACCTCCTGATACACTGACATGTAAATACATTTGTAAATGCATTCGTATATTGGCAAATATCAATGTAAGAACGAAGTAACTCATCATCATATTCATAGATTAGCATGTCGCTTGTATGAATGTATTCCCGCATGGATGTGTGCATGTATGAACCTTTGAATATGTGAAGTACATGTGAGTATATAATCCTATAAAACTATATCTTAAATTCATGAGTATGTGCATAGATGACAGCTGAATAGATATGAAAGGCCAACTGCACAGCTAAACATGCCTTCGCGACGAATGGCGATGGTGCTAGGCCTGCTAGGCGAAAGTTATCTAATTTAGCTTGCTTGCCGAAGTACTTTTGTTAGTTTGTAGTTTTGCTATTACTATGGCCATTGCCATTGCTAATGCTACCGCTATTCCTATTACTCTTTCGTCATATACCCACGCAAGTATTTAAATATGTTCACGTGCTTCATATATATGTATAGAGAGAGAGATCTTTCTGTATATCTGATATTTTGGCTATTATTATGGTATATCATATAGCATTCTGTTATCAGCCGTTCAGGCCAAAGCTTTGCAAA